GGATTCGAGTGAATAGCGCTGAACCAAGGCCGACTTGACAAGCATATGCGAAATAGTGCAGGGGGCGTTTTCTGCTTAGGTGTGACTATTATGACCGTGCCTGATGTCGCGCTCATTACCGCTTGAAACGACACCAGGCAGGCCATGATGAAGGTAAACTTGAGGCCTTTAGCAAGCAGGTCGGTGAGCGGGAGAGCAATATAGTCAAGTTTGGCACCTATGCCGACCACCAATCCATGGTGGCGCAAAACTTTTGAGTTTGTCACGGTCGACCTGGGGTGCAAGGCGTCGCAGTGCCTCACTAGGCTCTCCGGTGATAATGTAAAGTATTTAGAGTAGCTGGAAAGGTACGACCAAAGTAAACAATAGACCTCTTCTCAAGTACGATAATTTCGGCTAGGAAAAAGTCTATAGTCCGAGAGAACTGAATTGAGTCTTTATTTGGTTTTCTAATTCACTAGACGCTGGGTTTATACTTGAGTGTTTCTCTCACATGTGGGGCTCTGGCCGTTTCTACCGCTAATATTTCTAATATCAGGAATATTTGGATCCGGATCCAAAACTCAGTATTTGACGATTCCGTGGTTTTAGGTTTTGGATTGGCCTTTTGACAATCTGGTCCCTAGAAGCTACACCGGTGCGACTCGACACCGGCGCGTGAATTTCATTTCGGCTGTCTGCCAATTTTGGTGTCAGGAGTCCTAGGAAGATTGCTGGGTCATAGATCTCAAGTAAATCAGAGGTAGTACATTTTTCAGTTGGTGGGGCCTTGGTCGCACCGCCAAATGACTTCATAAACACTGGGATTAATTTCTCGGTATCAAGTGTCCCTCATCTAGTTGTTTTAATATCAGATTAGGTATAGCGGCGTTTTCGGCATAACAGAGGGCTCTCGAGGCGTTTACTTCGCGGTGGACTGGACTATTGGGCCCACAAGGGATCATTCAGCCTTCATCAGCGTGTCCGTGGAGTTCTTGTATGAACACGCGTCGCTGTAGTGGCCGTGATTGTTGCAGGAGTAGCACTTGACCTTCGACATGTCTCGTGATGGGGAACGGACTGGTTTGTGGTGCATCGAACGTGATCGAGAACGCTCCTGATCATGTGAGCGAGAGTGACGCTCAGAAGGGGCCTAGGCAGTCGGCTTCGGTGGGTCGCGAGGTGCTGAAGGGGGCAGTGAGCTGCGTGATTCTGCGCCCCGAGTCTCGACGATGGACAGAACCCTTGCGACGTTCGTAGTCACGACCCTTGTTGAATTGGTCGCGTTCACGGCGCTCGCATTGGATGTGCTCCGCCACGTCGGATTTTGAGTATCCCCGGAGGTATGTGTCCTCTAAAAAGGAGGCAGCACGCGCAAACCCTGCGAACTTGTGCAGCGAATTGAATGCTGACTACTCCATCCCTGACAAGGCTTCGCCAAAAAACTCAGATGCCTCGCATGAACATCCATCGCCATGGTTGGAGATAAGGTCGGGGAAAACCAATTAGATGTGCAAACATCTGGGAGCCGTAGTAGGTGTCTGTCCGAGGCTAGCATATAAAGAAAGGCATGGACTGATGTACAGTCTGCCAAAATGGCATGTCTGTTATTCGATGTCTCTGTTATATATAATGTTTGTGGTTGGAATACACCCAGACAGGGTTTATAAGGTTTATTTTAGCTTATCATATCAGGATGTTTAAACTTGGGTTGATTGGGGATTAATTGTGAATAAAAGAACATCGTCTCCCTCTGTAATGAGGTAGGACGTTGAGATACTGTTATCGACGACTTACTGCATTTTTAACATATTCATGAAGTTGATATTCTAGTAATTAAAACAACAGACAACTATAGCGTAGCTTAGCTTACAGTATTTTTTTACTTTAGTGACAGAGTAGTACAGGGCACAGGAGAAAAGCAACAATTAATCAGGGAGATGATGAGGATACGCAAAATACTAGTTCGAATCATATTGATAGTGGTTACGCTAGTAGTGATACAAGCGATTCTATGCAATCGCATATGGTAGATAGTAGTAGTGTTTTAGACATAAATATACAAACAAATAGTGCACAGTACCAAAAAAAATGAAGCGGTACGAAGGCTTGAAGATGGGTAACGTAGACATTTAGTACCCAGAGATTACCCCTATTAAGGATTTTGGGAATTACAACAAGAACTACAACTAGTTGAAACCCTTCAGTCTTGGACCCTACAACACACACCAATCATATTGCCGCCGCTATACGAGGAAGAAGAATCCGAACAGAAGCAACCAGAAAAAAAAGCCCCGAAGATGAACATATGTAATCGACAGTGCCGCACACGGGTCAATGTTGGTGTTTCTGAGTGTACTATGGGAATATTTGTTTATCTTTCTTTTACATGTTGTTGACGAAGGGGAACCAAGTAGCCGAGCCTAGCACACAAACTTAGATTCAGCTGGACGTATACGTGCATATGTGTCGTCTTTGTGCAATAGAATTAACTTTGAAGAGATCTAATTCATGTTTCACATAAGAGAACCAGTGTTGAAGTATTCGGGTATCGATATAGAGGTACCTTCTATAAATAGAAAACCAAAAACTGTACGAGAATCTGTACGCGCCCGCCAGCAGCTGTCTAAGAGGCATCCATCGCGTCTGGGCCGATTATAGAAGAATTCAATCGTCATTTTTCAAAATGGTACGGGAAATTGTACGGGAGCTCTTGCAATTTGTAAGGCACAAGAGGGGAATAAATGCTACTAGAAGAATTTCATGGTGTAAAATCAATTTGTCGCACGATATCAACATTGTGCTAGCAATTATTTGTTATAGATATACAAAAAGCCAGTATAAGAAACTTTCTGTGCTAAATATAGGTATTCCGTCCTTTTACGACGTGTAGAGTGTAGTACGTGTCTATAATTGACGTTAGATGCCTGTAGAAGTATGTCTATGGCGTAGTGTGGAAGTATGGCATCAGGAAGTATTATGTTCGTGAATAATGTTGGATATATTTAGGAAACTAGTATAAGGAGCTAGTAGAGCTACATATGAAGCCGTATTGTGGTACCTAGGTCGTCAAAGTGTTATAAGTGACAATACGATGCTTTGGATACTTATAGAATCGGTTAAAATAGATGAATCAAAAGTGAGACATGAAATATTGTACAAGTTTATATGTGATTTATGTTATAATATTTAAAGCAATATAAGCCGTAAACCATGCCGAGCATAAGTCACTAGCGATACGATAGCAAAGTGAACCAGGGTGACGCATTGAGAAACGCAATCTTGACCGAAAACATGTTGTAGGCAATTGGTAGCCGAACTAAATGTTAACCTGTTATATATAGACGGGGGGCTTTGTGCTTGGGACCTTTGAGAACCCAGCCAATATTTTAGCCATTGGGATAACTGTAATTGATTGAAGTATTGTGTTATGTATTTTCAAAGCTTCAAAAATATAAGGATTGCTACGAAATCAGACCGGTTATTTCGGAGTTCGTGCTGTAAACCAAGTACGGTGTATTCTCTAGTGGTGATTACGGTGTGTGTAAAAACCAACACTTCGACATGTCGATTCACAAGGAACGGCATATCGTCATATCACCAACGTCGACGTCATAGCTTCTTCATAAGAACACACAAAGTGGAGTGGCAGAGTAGGTGTGAAAACGGAAGTAGCAGATATTGGAGTAAAGCAATTAGTCTGGAGCAGACAAGGAGGCACGATGTATGTACACGTAGGGCAACACCTCAGCTCTGAGTACGAACTGAAACAATAAATGAGCTAATTGTAGATGAAGGACGGATGGTCTCGGCGGTATGCCTGAATGCTGTGGGGGGATTCCTATAGTATCCCAATCAGTGTTTGATAACTATAACGGTGTCGCGGGTCCTTGTACCTCGGTATTCAAGTCGACTAATGCCTGCCGTTATGGATTCACAACAGATATTCGGTTCCCACAGACAATCGAAACCATAACTTTGACTAATCATCTCCTCCAATCCTAGACAGAGCCGTCGCCAGTAACATCTTGCATCAGAACGTCGCGCACACGATGACATTGACCAACGTGACACGAAGCGTCGCCGCTCCAAGGAAGGACCCAACCAATTTCAAGCGGCAGAGGAACGGGACGCGCACTACCGTGAGAATCAAGCAATCTTACGTCGGGCGTTTTTAGCTCGCGGGTAAGAACAACAACCTAAGCCACACCAACTCAGCAACATGATGATAATCTTACACAAGACCAAGAGTCTGTAGTAGCCTACTACCTGCGTGCAAACCAGGGCCAGACCGACACCCGGGAGCATGTAGCGAGTGCCGGTTCGTCCACCAGTTCGACTTCAGAGAGTTCCAGCCCGTCATTTTCTACACAACAGTTACCCAGTGACAGTTAGCAAACCTCGTAGCAGCAACCCACGCCTACCACCAGCGAAGCGTAGATGTCCACGTGGACGAACAATAAGCGAGGTGACGTGCGTGGACAAGGTTGACGTGACCTTATGGCTAGGCAGCAATCTTTGTTCGACCAGTATGAGGAACGACTGAAGCGTATCACATCTGAGTAGACAACAGCTTCCAAAGGCGGTCATATGTCTTACAAGCGTCGTCGTTCTTCCGACAGTGTCGACAATCCAGAGTTTCGTATCCGCGGTCGCAATCGACAACACCATGGCCGAGGATATGAGTCACCAGAGTCGGACGACCAGCTATCCTCAAGTGATGCACTCTCTATTTAAACCCTTGCACGCGAGCAACTACTCGCTAAACAGAACCCTCACGGGGAGGAAGCTTTGAAGAATTGACACGTCCGTTTGCGCACCAATTTTCGTATGCAACAGCAAAAGAAGGCTTTTGAGCAGGACGCGCTCCATGACACGGTGCTGGCTCCAGCGAAGGAAGCGCCGAAGCCAGAAGCTTCTCCACCGACACCAGAGAGCATCGAAGTGAGTTGTCAAGCACTTCAGGCAGTATACTCAAGTTGTCGAATGAGCTGTGCCGCAATAGAAACCAATAACACGGCATGGGCCGAAGCTCTCCGGGCATATTGGAGACACTACATACGACACTGGAATCCAAGCCGGTCGACAAACGGAAGGTTCCAGCACCACGCAATTGGCCTGACTGGCCGTCTAATCGCTACCGCTTGAACAAAATCATGGAACGTGACACCAAGGGGGTCCTCCTCGAAGCTTTGAAGATCGCACAGATCGCAGGCCTCGATGAGACATAGAATCTAACATGGTTGTTGGTTCATTTCAATGCCGAGAAGTCAACACTTGACTACATTAGGGATAACACTGAGCGCTTGAAGGCGTGGGTATTTAAGTTATAGATAGCACAGATATGCTCACACGAGACACAAGGGACTGTAGAGCCTGTCTTTCGCAAACTAGCTAAAGGTCATAGTAAGTTGGTGCATGTGCCTGTTATGGAACAGTTGATCCGTTTGCAGTTGACCCGCTTGATGGAATATCGCCGTCGAGCTCGTGAACGCTGCCAGACTGATGCCGAGGTCCAGCAAAGATATCTGAGCCACTAAATAGGGCAGCTCTTAAAGGAGACGCTCAATGGTCGTACGTATGAGCGCACAGTCCAGTTCCCTCCTAAGCTGCATTTGATGGAGACACACGAGTTGCTACAACTATTGAGTCCCGACATACAGAAGGCGCAGCAGCGGCCAATGGCTCGATTACTTAGTCGTCAACAGCAACAAAAAGAGAACACACTGCGTGATTATACTCGTCAGAACCCCCAAACAGCGCAACGACAAACTCAGTACTGGGCGCAGCGACCTCAGGCAGCGACGCCAACAACGTGCGTAGATTGTCAAACACAGGCACCACCCGGTCCGCGACATATTGCCCGCTGCCTTCATCATACAACAGCGCAACAAGGGAGGAATGACGCCAGAACAATTAGGAACGGCCATACAAAGACGCACAATCGTCACAGCGTTCAGCTGCAACATTCCCGCCAGGGCAAGAACCAGGCAGCAACTGTCCAAGCAGCCACCAACAAGAACAACCGATACACAGCCACAGGTGAACACGGTTACACGCGAAGAAGGAATCGATCATCCTCCTACAGCAACTGAAATGCACATTGACACAAAACTCACCGCCGATTATCACGATGATGCATTAGCAACAGTCACAACCCAGAATGGGTGGGAACCAGTGCCGGCAGACAATTGAGAAGTGAGGGTTGTCTGACGCAGATGCAGCTTTAACGTTTATATATACTATCAATGAGGTAATGGCGATTAACGATCCATTATTGACATCCGATAACCGAGTCTACATACAACTGCAACTGAATGAGCGTACGTTCAGATTGTTAATAGACATGGGTGCGAATAGAAACTGTATCTCGAAGATCCTATCACTCCATCACCACCTGCTTCGTTCATTTATTCAGCTGACAAGGCGGTACGAACTTCGCGATTGGGGACAGCTGTCAAGGCGGTACGAACTCCGCGATTGAGGACGATGGAAGTATTACCTATAAACTGTATCTCGAAGATACTATCACTCCATCACCACCTGCTTCGTTCATCTATTCAGCTGACAAGGCGGTACGAACTTCGCGATTGGGGACAGCTGTCAAGGCGGTACGAACTCCGCGATTGAGGACGATGGAAGTAGTACCTATAAAGTACGGCACGAAGATAATCAATAGTTCGCTCGAGTTTATGAATTCACCCACAAGCATGAATATTATCCTTGGCCAAGACATGATGAAAGGACTAGGGTTATACATAGGAGGAACTTAATCACCTCTCGCAGCCATCAACCTAAAGGAGCTTGATGAACTACTGAAACCTATACCATCTCCAGTCACCAAATACAACGGAACCAGCTGACGCTCGACAATGTTTGACATCAGTTTTAAGGGCGAACGCAGCGATTGTAGACAACGCACGATACCACCTCTAGGAAATTGAAAAAACGATGTCAGTTACACGTGAACAAGCCATGAGCATGTGCAAATCCACACGTAACTTCGTGTCGGACAGATGGCTACCTTGTGTCGACGAGCAAGTACAAAAATGGTTGAAAGACGTGGTCATTACAAAGCGGACGACGCAACGGCAGTCAACCTAGCACTACTCGCCTTGCGCATGTTTGCCAGTGAAGGCAACGTGAGGAAGGTGCAGTTTTGTTTAAACATGCGCGTAGTGAACGCACTCATCCCCAGTGACCAATTCTTAATTCTTAATCAACGCTGCCAGTATTCGTTCATGTCAGCACCATCTGACCTGCACGTATTGACATATCAGTTCCAGCGCATATTGAGCACGATCCTGGACTGGCTACCAGTACATCACTACATCGATGAGCAGGTGATAATTATGACGAACATAGCAACACAATGAAGGAGATCGGCAAACGACTCACATGCCACAGTTTTAAACTGGATCCAGTCATGTGCCACTTTGCAATTGCTGAAGTGATGACACTCGGCAAGAAGGTGTCAGCACAAGGCATTGATATGGATTATGAGAAACAAGCAAACTATTCGATTGGCCAACCATGTAACGATATATGGACATAGCGTCGGCTGTATGCTTGGCAAATTGCCTCCACGAACACGTGCCTAACTTTGCACACACATGGCACCATTGCGTGAGTTCTGCAAACGGAAAACAAACAAGCTGATCGGCGATCGATGGGAACGTCACGATATCCCATATCTATGGGGAGGAGAATGTTGTACCAGGCATGATGAGCAGAGTACATGAAGGTACGCCGGAGAGCTACGAGCCCGAGATACTGTGCGCAGATAGCTGGAAGCTGTTTCCCGATTACATCGAGCAAGCACAACAGCTCTTCGGTCCGAATAACGTAGACGTTTTCGTGAGCCCACAGAACGAACAGCTGCTCGATTTTTGGATTAAGGATGAACAGAAAGGTGCATTTGAGCACAACTTGTCCCTAGTAGACGGTTGCCCACCTTGGCAGCTGATACACAAGGATGGGGCATCCGCAACAGTATGTCTACCTTGGCTACCACGGGCACCATGGTTCGACTTATTCAAGCAACTACTTCAATCGGAACCGGTGCTGGTGCCTAGGATACCACATACATTCTTGAAGTTTGGCAAGTATGCGTGCGGCAAGATCTTGGGGTCACACAGTGACAGAAAGAATAGGCCCGCCCAATGATTTTAAGCTGGTCCCTCTCTTCTCACAGCGGCTTGGAAACGCGGAGTCACGACACATAATATATGCGAGGTGTGTAGACACAGCACGAGAGGTATCTGTCGCTATGGCCGAAGATGGTCAACCTGGATTTGCACAGGCAGCACCGGAAGAACAGCTTCGTCGTACATAATTTGCACAAGCGCAACATGAGCAAGGCCACCACGAAGTTACTACCAGCCATAAAGTTTACATAAGTGATGGTTTGGTAGGCATGTGATATTAATCTTGATGTGCAGTATATTTATCATCAATGTATGTAATTGATGCATGTGAAGTGTATACTTGCTGCTCCTTTGTGTGTTAACTGTCTAGTTCAACTTAGGAAACCATGTATTGTTTTTGTGCGTTTGATACTACTTGTGATTGAAGACCCTGAATAGCTGGTTCTTGTGATTCTATGTGATGTTATGTGGCATGCGGCACCTCCAACTTGTGTATTTATGTAGTATACTTACGATTGATGCTTGTGCTGATACGTATTTAATGGCAATCTATGTCGCAGACATTTGTTCCCTATCTATGGATTTAAGATGGATTGTACGTCTTTAAATATGAGATTCTTCGACGTGCATCAACCAAAATCCATTCAATAAATATTTATTAAACGAATGCTTCATAGCATGCAACCATTATATCTTTTGCATTTGTGTAATCTTCTATTATGTTTCGTTATATGCATCAACCACGGACAATAAAACGACACCCTTTGTTTCTTAGATCACTGTACCTTGACTTACTTGATCACTGAATACTTTGTGGCGTGCAACAATTTTTCTTCTTGTATACGCGTGGTACTCTGTAGTGGTCTTGCGTAAACCTATACGCATGCATTTACTATTGTAGCTACCTTTAGCTCTTTGCTTGAATATCTATCTCTTTTTAAATGCGCGGACAAGTATGCATGCATTGTGCATGCCCTCTCCGTTGTGGGATATAACTCCTTCTATCTCTCTTTTATAATGTGTGACAATTCATAGATGTGGATAATATGCACTAGCTTGCAAATTTGTACAAAACTGTCTCCTACTTGTGTACATGTAAATTTCAGCGCCCCAACTTTGATGATATTATTAACGGTGACACTTCGCAGTAAATCTTAACAGCCCAACGTTGGTTATGCTATCACAAGTGACATTTTTTACTCTCTTCTACGTTGGAAGACTATGTGCGTTTACCTTCGGGGAAACCTAGTCACACTTACCTTTGTATATATTATAAGAGCACTTTGCGGTAGTATGTTGGGTACCCTGCGAGCGGAGCTTGTACGCTTTTCTCAGTGAAGGAGCTTCTTCTTTCCTTCCCAGTTCCTTTCATGACCGAGCTTCACTCCTTGATTCTTGATTTTTTTAATCTCCAATGGTGGCTTAATTTCGTTGTTGGATGACGCTTTTCGTCGCTTCTGGATACGTGGCCCAACCTACTAGAGAACTTACTAGAGTATGCTAATTTATTGTCCCTCTGTTGTGTACCAAGAAGATTTGTGTATAGCAGAGTTTGCTCTGTTAGCTGTCCCTACAATCTTCCCAGAACCTCTTTAACGAATATGAAGCCTGACGCGCATGTAGTATGTTCACCGAAGTGAAGTGACAGTGATACCCGCCCGTACCTTTCGACGTTCGCATATTCCGTTGGTCTCAAAGGAGAGCCTACTTCTTCCCTTCCTTAGTTTTCCGCCTTGGTCATTTCCTCGGCGCTGGCTCGCTTTCTCATCTTAGGTGGTAGTTTCTTCTATCCTTGTTTCTTAACTAGTGTGTTAAAAATGAAAGTTGACATGTGCATACACGCATTGTGTCTTTGTGTGCACGTATGTTTTATTCTAGTTACTAGTATCAGCCGGCTTCCTCAGTAAAAATACTGTTAAAATGTAGAATGTGAGAGTAGCTAAAAAGATATGCCTATAGCTCTTTCAAGCTAATTCCTACTGCGATAGAATGTAGACTATACTTTGTAACGGAAAATAAGCTAGTACTAGCACGGTCAGATGGTAAATTAGTATGTAAGGAACAGTACATGGCTGCGTCGAGGTGTAGCTACAATGGTCTCGAAACGTGATCAACCGCGGGTCGTACAGGCGCGGGGCTTAACTCTAGGCTGGGGTGGTAACTATGACACTCAAATGATAGTAGGCCTACGAAATGACATCTCAACCATAGAAGGTGTAGTCAAAGGTTGGTGTGAGCGAACATATATGAATAAGGACAACTTAAAAAAGTCAAAATGACAAACCTATGCAGCCAACTAAGTGGGAAAGGGTATTGAGTGACGAAACAGATGAAGACCGTGCGAAGCGACAGAAGACCAATACATTTAGATCCGCTGTATGTTTCAAAAATCTAAACTATACAAATCGGGACGAATATGTGCAGCGCATATGTGATCATGTTGTAGGATATACTTGCAAAGATGAAGTAAAGAAGCACAAGAAATATTTAAAATGCTTCTAGAAAGCGATTTACCAGTAGATACAGACATATAATCACATGCACTATCCTGGCGCAGCAAAAACAACAATAATAGTTAACGCCAATCACGACGACGAATACATAATTAAAACCCTTCGGCGAATTCAGTACTGGGAGGATTGGACTAAGTCAATATCTCAGCCTTCTCATCCCCCAGAGTATTGCTGAATCACGAGACAATCTAACTATGACAATCGACTACTTTCGTGCTTGCTTCGACCAAAACACTTAATACATTATCACTACCTTCAGGCTTTAATCAATGAATACTGTCTCGACAAACCCAAATTTATACATTTAAAGCTGGCAAGTTTCCACATTTTATAGTCAGCAAAAGTGTTAACTTGTTGAGCTCTTGAACGTAGTGGTGTTTATACCACACACATTTTCTTCTTCTAAACGATTATTTCTTAAGTGAAGAAGATAAAGCATAACAAGGGTTCCTCTCTTTCAAAGAACATAAATCTGAGATGAAGAAAACCGACAAGGATGCCACCGCTACCGCCGCCGCCATCGCCGAGGAAGACAAGTCCGCTGCCAAATCGATTGTCGCCAGTGGGAATCGCCGACAGAGCACTTTGTTGGAACATGAATTTATTATTATAATGCATATTATATATACAATATACTAATTGCCATGTGCTTTTAAAATATTCCTACAGTAATTCGGCCAAAATATAAACCGTAATATATTTTGGGCTCATAGGATTTTAGGGTTTGAGTCTTATAAATTCGTTTCAACACACTGAGATTAAAATACTAGACTACCCAATTAAGAAAGAAGTCGCCGAAGAAAGAGCCCGAGGGTCAACTATCGCGTCCGTTTCAAAGCTACTTTTTACGATGTCAAGAAACAAAACTCAGGGTTTTATAACTATCTATACGATCCACGAAGAGGAAATTCAGAAGAATAAATCACTGGTGCCGGCAATTGAAGACGAGAACCAATGTGGGCCTGATCTGACTAATGAAGGTGACGAAGAGACGAGCCCTCAAGGATCACTTAATATAGCAGATAAATCTGCCACACCAACTTGATAAGTAAGTTGACGGATGAGAACGCTGAACTTTAAATCCCAGTTAGCTATTTTAATATAGGAGCCCGTAAAAGAAAATGAAGCAGTTGAACATTTCGGTCGTATGTATGCGTCAGGTAAAACGCACGCCGCTTATGTGAACATGTCACTGACGATATCACTGTAGCGTAAACCTAGTGAACTCGTAGAAAGCAAGCCAGAGAAGTCGACGACTACGGGATTGCATATAACTTTACTGGTAACCAGATGTCTAATGCTGAAATAGTGGAAACTATGGAAGCTGAAGCTCGAGGAAGGAAGGACTAAAACGAACCAGAGGTCGAACCCACTCGCGAGCCAGTACTCTAAAGGTTTACATCGATCGTGTAGAAGGAACTGAATTATCTTCACATCCTCCTAAAGACCACTTTGGTTGAAGTAAAATCTACCGGGTAAGTATACCAGAGCACGGGAGACATTAATGTCTTAACCCTATAGTCCACAGCAAAACGTCGCAAAGTCTCTACCTTCGACTTTGGTTACAACTGAAGAGAAGGTAAAGGCACAAAGAAGAGGGCAAAATAGCTGAGCTTGCTCGCGTAGACTGAAACATGTTACATCAGCCAGCTGAATAATTTGTACTTCCTGGTGTAGATAAATACTACTGATACATCTGTAGATGAGCTGACGGTGAAGATGGGGATCGCACACGGCACCCCATAATACGGGGAAAGTCGATTACTATACAAAGCTGACCATCAAGCAGACAAGAATTTATCAGATGCTACAGCCCAGCAGGGTTGACAATAAGAAGTGCAAGGAGATGGTTCTGGGATGCCAGTGGAACGAGCTTGACCGATGCCTCAACTGTAATAAATGGCAAGAAGCATGCTGGCTAGTAACATATCTCTTGAGTCAAGATATACGGTCCGGGCATGTGCTCCACACTAGCACCTCCGGCACCCAACGTCATCATCCTGAACTATATCTTGAAGCTCGATACCGTTCCGACCTGATGCGCCCGGAGTTAACTAGGGATGATAAATTAAGATGATAGTAGTTTTGCCATGCACTTGTTCTGTATAAACATAGGTAGTGATGATCGCAAGAAGAAGCTTCACTCTACACACCGTCTACACTAAAAACAGTTCTATAAGACGTTCTCAGTGAGTTTTCCTAGGGATCGAGTAACTTATAAGAAGAACGCGGTTCAGATGAAACCACGAGACCAACCTGGTCAAGGATATGTCTCAAGACAAACTTCCCAAAAAAGAAGAAGCGTGTGCGCCCACGTTATACCACACAGCCTACGCGACCGATTAAGAAGCCGCAAGCTTACAGAGGAAGAGATCGCATATGAAGAGACCAAGAAGTGTGCCGACGACAAGTGCGGGCTACCAGCTCACACCTGATGATTACTGGAACGGAATACATTCTTCTGCTTTCTACACATAACCTTGATAAATGTGACAGGCGTGAGAATATTATCGACTGCTACACCAAGGCATGTGACAGCAAACCAGACATTAAGCAAACATGAAAAGTTTACCGGATCCAATCCCCTACTCATTAGTGCATACTGCATTGTATATAAAGTTCGTGCATTGATTGATATACTGGTTCTGAAACACCCTGCATATCTGATCACTTTGCTTTGAGAAAAAAAAATCGAAGGTAGAACACAAACAACTCACCCTATATTTGCAGATTAGTAACCATCAGCGAGCGACACTATGACTATAGACTTTGAAACATGTTAGCCTACGATCACAAGATAATCACGCAAGCTGTAGTGATAAAAATGACGCAAAACTATGACATTGTTGTTGATATGAGTAACCTACTCGTATTAGGCATCCCACTGCAAGAGTCAGTACTATAAAGGACCATCAGCTAAAATATTGAATTTATACTTGTAAACAAGAAAAAAGATCACTGACTGGACGGAGTTCCGCTCTAGCGACGGATATGTTAGTCTTGACTTAACTAAGGTAGACTTATTAAGCTAAATCTTCAAAAAATATGTATATTGAAGACATGATGCTGTAACAAAAGAACAAGTAGAGAAGTGGTTAGCCAATGGGGTACTAGAAATAATATACCAACAAACCACGATTTTATATACAAAGAAACCAGTTTAAAGACAACATAGCACCTGAAGTTTGTCCACAAGATGTAAAGTCTACTACAGATAAAACTGTTAAGAAACGTCGATCTCTAAACCGAACCTTATATATTAATAGGAGGTCGAAGGCCGAAGCTTTTCAGAAATCATTCTTAAAGTGACTCATGAAAGACAGTCCCGAAGTAGATACACATATAATGCGGTTATAAAATCAGTCAAGCGTACCCAATGTATACAAGCGCAGTAAAAACGTTCAGACAAGGAAAGTAAGGAAGTCTGACGACACTACAGACTCAAGAACACGCAAGTGGATTGTTTACAAACTACCTTAGTTCTGGAACAGCAGAATAAAAGAAATATCCTCGCATGGCTCACTCAAAACCATAAGCTGAAGCACCAGACGCCAACTGTAATAGAATAGCGCGTCTTATGCTAGTGACTTAAGAGTATATATTTTATCAGACATGCGCAGACTGTGATCTCAATCTATAGATTCGATCCGCTTACGGGTGTGATGTAAGATGTCCCATGGCGTAAGATCATCATTGATCTTGTTGACCTGCCCAAGTCCGAGCAGACGGGCAACCATCACATATCCCACTTTTTCGATATGAACTCAGTCAATCCATCAGTCTATCCATTGGAATACAAAGGTACTCGACGTGGTAGCACTATGTTTCCAAGTCGTTACTGACCACGGGTGGCCATGTTTCACGAGTTCTATAAACGGTAGCGAGTTCGGTGATCACGCAACGGAATCATTAGTACTTGTATCAGGTATGTACCATAAGAAAGGTGTCTCATATATACAACAAACGCAGGGCGCAAACGAGACGCGCTATAGAAGAATTAAGTTCTTCGTGCGTACTGCATTATCGAATAGTGCAGATATCTGGCCGTACCAAGGTGAACGATTGTGCTGATCCCGTTACGGGAACAGCATCCTCTCACCATTTTTTGTGGCAGATATAGTGAGCTACAGATACCTTACAACATGGACGAACCTGATCGCCTTGAGTTACCAGGGCTCGAAGCAGAATAGATGGAACAAAACCAAATAGATAACAGAGTATCAGGTCGATGACATAGAGTTAATATACGTCAACATAATTCCGATGCTACTGTTATAATATCTAAATGGATAGGACCATATATAATCACTGTTGCGGACACGAAAAGTGGAACCTATGAGGTTAAAAACCCCGATGATTCTAGTGCTCTTAATATAGGCACTAGTCGCATACCGACTAGTATATCGACATTGAGTCTGCAGATGTAGTCGGCGTGTGCAGTTTAGGTAATAAGAAATGGGAGGATCACAAAATAGATTTTATGCATATTGCTGATCTGTCATTCAAGAAGTACAAGAATGTGAAAGTTATACATAAACCGGATGCCAATGCATCGTATGAATACAATGAAGAGACTTAGTGACGGCGAATGAGGGCGACAGTCGTGACTATGAAGGCTAAAGCGACGAAGGCTTTACCGAAGTCCGTCGAGGTTGAAAATGAAACAATTATTGAGGCGAGCGATGAATTAGCTCGAATGAAAACGAGTACAGCTTCGGAGTTTACTCCTATGGAAGTAGATTTATGCCGATGCGCAAGACCTATGGTAAGTTTATGGATACACCATTGCAGACGCCGTATTAGATTTTATCAGCGTATACTTCAACGCAAATGGAGAACCTGATGAACTGTCAATGCTCTTTAGTGATCGTTGTAAATTAAGGGCACCGAGCCGGAGCCTGTGAAGCTCGGACATGACCGCATATCGCTTCTGTAGGGTTGGAAGGCAAAGTGGTATTGTCGTGTTTGATAACATCGATACTACACATATTACATATTAACACCGAAAAACTCGGAAAATAGATTAGGAGCGCATTTTATCAGCGTAAACTTCAACGCAAATGGCGAACCCGATGAACTGTCAATGCTCTTTGGTGATCGTTGTGAAAACTAGGGCACCGAGCCGGAGCGTGCGAAGCTCGGACATGGTAATGACCACATATCGCCTCTGTAAGGTTGGAAGGCAAAGTGGTATTGTCGTGTCTGATATCATCGATACTGCACCCATTTACACCGAAAAACTCGGAAAATAGATTAGGAGGAAGAAGAGGCGCTTTGTGGATCCAACATTTTAGAATACGGTGTAGGGCCCGACGGTCTATCCTTCATCCCCGTAATGCTGGTAGTCCTGTATGAGGTTTCAGGCACCGCTTAAATTCTGCACAGTTTAAATCGAATTTGAAATACTGCATTTAGATTTCAAATCGAATTTGAATTCGACTACATATACCACAGCAAAATCACATCAAACAATGACGTTAAACATACTGGCGCATTTGTTGGATTTATGGCTTGTGCACCTCAGCCATACGGTCAATATTCTAAGATCCGAAACGATAATGGACGCATGATGCACACAGGTAGACTACACAGTATGCTCGAGCCCAATTAAATGTGTGTAGCAAGCATGACCGCTACTCTCCAAAACCGCATTTCAAAATTCAATTATATTATTTGTACCGGTTTGATATGTATCATTTTTTTTGGCCATGCACGCTACCTCTAGACTGTGGCGATAATTTCATATTTGATAACTCTACAACTAAATTCAATTTAATGGCAGCAGAAAAGACACGACACAGGGTTCATACAGACAAAGACAAGCTTTACAACGGTTTTACCTAAAGCAGTATAGACAACAGATGGTAGTTGAGTGATATGGTGCAAATCCGATGTTTATGCATCAAAACAGACCTAAGCGGAAAAAGTGAGAACTTGGGCTTCATCTCGTTTGGAATATTGGTGAAACTCTTTATTTTATAAACAAATCCATCCCCGAACCAGGAATTCAATAGATAACGTTGAATTAATAGCATAGCCACACATCAGATTTAACTGTGGTGTTCAAGGGCGGACTTTAAGACTTGTGCGAACTGATAACAGTCAGTGAAATTATTGTACATCGGAACTGGCGCGATTCTGATCACATCGGGCTCCTGTTAAATTGAAACATGGTTAAAAGACGGTTAATTTCTAAAACCAATGTTGTGGTAGAGTGTGCTGGAAATGGTGCATTCTTCAAAAACGATAAAAGCAGTTAATGTTTAAAACCAATGTTGTGGTCGAGTATTGTGTCCAATATATTGATGCTGTAAATGGTACATTCTGTAAAAACTATTGCGCGTGAATTCGATTCATATGATACGTAGAGTCCAGACAGGAAACAAACAACAGCTGAAGATAGCAATCACATGCCTACTTGCCTCCTCTGAAACAAATAGTACGATAAATATTTCTTACAGAGTAAGAAATCGTGCCATTCTTGTTTACGATGATGCCGAGGCTAGCACTCGAGATCAGAGTATAGTATCAACTGAAGTGGGCATAGCGAATATGAGCTAATTTATGAAGTGTGCAACGAAAGCATACATACATCCAGATAGATGTGCGACAGGTATATACCCGCACATGTTGTACCTAAATAGAAAGACACATGAATACATGCAATTGAACAATGAGCCCGTGACTATATGTACAACTCACACAAACATGGAAAATAACAAGGGTATAAGCGACTGCCGATTGCACATTATTATGCATTAAACACACATCGCTATCGATGTGTGTATTCCAAGTCACACGCAGATACGTAATGTCCTAAGAACATTTTTTTTACACGGGAATTATACTTAACCACAGACAATCATCCACATTAAAACCACTATTCACGTGAGTGGTCTAAATAGGCACACAAATCCATTGTATAACACATCTCGAGGTTCTGTTACAAACGTCCTGGTATACTTGCCCACACTGGCTAACTATTTCTTTACAAAGTAATTTGTTCACAGGTGAACGAAGACAAAGATGAAAAACATAGATGACTCACATACCCGAAGGTCGCAGACGACACCGGAATGCTCCAGAAACTCAAAAATAGGACGCACTGGCACCTTGCAGAACAAAGACAGTTGGCATCCACGTTTCGTCCTATCTGACGAGGTCAATGACTTGATATTTTTCTGGATAGAGCAATTTTATTGATAATATTTTATTACTGAATAATAAATAGGTTGATAGAGACAAGCGAATCAGAAAAATGACATTTTGAGAAACAAAATACCGTGCTATACATGAACGATAACAGCGCGTCTGTCCTAGCATTGGATACTGATATACCTGTACAATAGGAATTTTCGACAACAGCAGATCGAGATAGCCGGTTAACATCACCGATTTAGACCTCAAGTCCTTCATAGAAGTCATGTTGAAGACATTTAACGAAGCTCTCAGGCTCACAACTTGTAGCATCGGGGGGTTGGACATCGCGTAAGCGGCAGCATTAGAGATCTTGTCCATCTCTGTGGAACAAAAATATGAAGGCATGTAAGTCACAACGCAGAGACATACTAGCCGTTTGCACAACCAGTACGTTAGTAAACAGTAGAAGACGGTACTTGGCTTGCTCGGCTTTAGCCCACACTACATCCACGACTACATGTACTGAACACACATAACCTCAGAGCGGCTGGCAACAACACACTCACATACCGTTATCCATTTTAAATCGAGTTTTGAGGTTGTGACTCCACCAGCCGGTCAGCCTGGGAAGCTCGGGATTCGAATGGTGTCTCGAGTGCACAAAAGCACCAGCTATACCTCCAGGGCCTGAGTTCAGGTACTTGTACGTGCACCAGACGGCAAAGTCCAAATCCCAGTCGTGCAGCTGCAGTTCGATATTGCCTACGGCATGAGCTAGATCCCATCCAACAACGCAGCCCTGCGTGAACGGTAATGGAGACGACATCAGAATATATCGATTGGGATCCCGGTGTGTGCGTTTACTTTCCGAGGGTGCGCCAACAGAAATTGTAGAGTGTACTCACAATCAAAGACAAATCTTTTCGGCTGCATTCGAGAAAAATATTCTCCACATTTTGCGAGCAAGTAAAAACACTACCAAGATGACGATACAAGGTAAGTGTAAGTGTGAATGACTGCAACCAGCGCAAGCCTCGACTGTTACGAGAACATAACTGCACTCTACGATGCGAACAGACACGTACATCCATAATCGATTTGTATCGGCGGCATAAGTAAATATATTGATTAACCATCTTTCTTATAGGCTGGCTATAAACAGAGAAAATCCAACACACAGATCAATCCACATACCATCTGTCTGGCGACTGATGTGATGGCTTTCATATCGAACGCATCTCCTAGATAATACTGGACACCCGGTAACAGCACCAGCGCTATGTCATCGCCATGCAATTTGATTGCCTCAATCAATTTGGCATTTCCATCGACGCCTGTAAATAGTATAGTAGACACGGGAGCAAAACTTAGCATTGAAACTTTGTTTTGGCTCGCTCGCGCCGAGAGTAAGGTAAACGAATAGCCATATAAACAAGATCAGATTTAAGATGGTTCGGAGAAAGTGGGTAGAGCCGAGTGCTCCGAATCAATCTGTGACTTGAAATGCTACCTTCTGTATCGACGAGAATGACGTCAGTATCCGGATCATAACCGCGTGACTTGACCTGTTACGAGAAAGAGATAGTGATTTGAGTGAAATTTAAGAAGTTCAACAACTATTTCTATTCTGTGACATTGAAAAAGGTTGCAGTGGATTTTGTACTCGAAAATCAGGACGAAAAGACTTCCAAATAGATATACAGACGTGAAAAAGGAGCACAGAAGCACAAATTTACAATCAGAGTTTCGTAACTGTGCAAAGCCCCCACCTGAGAGCGCACAGCGTAGTGATCAGACGGAAACGCCTTGTTCTCGATCAGAATCTTGCATCTCGTATCAGTGGGAGTGTAGAACGATGCCAACATGAGGTGCAGATTGACTGTAAGCGTATTCATGATCACGACCTCGGACTCATCCGCGCCTGCACAATGTTCAATTGGTATCGGAGCAGTAAAATCAATATTGTATCTCGTAGTATGCAGAGAATGAAAAAGCATTAGGAAATGATTTAACACCACCGTCTATTAACATTCATTGAAAAGTCAAGAAATAAAGCAGCAACAACATACCAACGATCTTGGCCATGTCACCGGCTGATTGCTCGGCGATGTCGACCCACCGTCTCTCTGAGTCATCGAAGTGCCCCTGTACACCCCTGCAATTTAAGGCGACGTAATAATGATATCTAAAAGTGGGATGCAATCTCTTCAGACGCGCTTCTAATACAAGTGACGCTAGGTAACAGGAAGGAAATCGTCTCGTAGGCAAGATTAAAAATCTAGTGATCTATAGTACTACATTCATGATGCAGAGGCCGACAGAAGAGAGTCGGACACCCGGACAAACCACTGAACGCGTTAATGTCATACTTGACCATCATGTGAAAACTCTAGCAACAGCCCCCTTTGGTAAAGCTCCCCAAATTGTGCATATGACCCAGAAAGATACTTTTGCATGGAATGGGCACACAAACTGAAAAAAAGCAAGGCAATAAAAACATATATCGTAGTTACCTTCTCTGCCATTTCAGTAGCTCCTCGTTAACTAGTGGCTGAGTCCCCTTGGGCTGCAACCCTAGGCTGTTGCCGCACAGGTAAATACATTCCTTCTCCCACTCACTGTCTGGTATCATATCCTTTCGAACTGTATGGTAAGTGGAATGCAACCTAATGATCAGAGAGTGCAGTGCCATTTCAGAAGCACTTGGAAGATGATGTACGCGGGGCCATCATCAGCTAGAGGTACTTGCAGTATTCGCATGTAGCTGACCAATTTCACATGACGGAGGCTAACTTGAGCGATTGCCATTCCTTTCCCAGCATATAACTCACTCGCAAGCTGGATCTATACACAGCAGGATGCAGAAAAAATAGCTGCATAGATCAGGACGTGCGGTACGTTGAGGTTTGACCGCACGAAAGTATATGCGTATACCTATAAATACACAATTGTCGATCATCGATTTGTGTAAATACCGATTGCGGGCGATAGATATATGTACACCAACTTTATAGAGTTTTTAAATTGTAGCACGGTAGTATAGCACAACCAGCACAACATATTTATCCTACATCATACGCTTGTAAACAATTGCTTTCCCACCAAAAGCTCAAAGATCTATACCTAAAACTCAAGCCTTCTACTGGATTTGTTTGTTGAACATGCGATATTAACAGAATCTCTGCACTTATAGAAGAAATATCATGCGAGATAAGGGACATCCAACTGCACCAACCCACCAAGGATACGTGAAATGAAGGGCAGTTCGTCAAACTTCTCCTGGCCATTATGCATCACACTGAGAAAACTGTGACACATGTATCAGTTAGTGTCATATAACGATTTCGGCAACACAGTTATCAACCAGAGAGTTCATAAAGTTTGAACCGCACTAGTTGCATCCGATGTAAAATAACCTCAACACACCTTCGTACAGCCCTGAATTCTTGGGGATGTGGTATTCCGATCTCAAGTGCGCAATGGAGTCATCTTTGTTCAATAACTCAGCAAATTCCTTCGAGTTGACCTCCAAGCCTGCTTGATTCGCTCGCTGGTTCAAAACTGCGTGCGATGCGTCTGTTACGGCTGTATGTTGCCAACCAACCAGGGATGCGATTAGCAAAACAGTCCAAACAAAGTGCCACACAGTTGTTTAGAAAGAGGAACAGGTTTTGAAAGTGAAAAATTTCAATTAGGTCTTCCACTTTCTGTAAGAACGCTAATCTCGTCAATAGTTAATCGTGACAGGGAGCCCACGCGGGCAAGGACAACACAAGACACCATAGCCTCTCCCTTCTTAGAATGATACATCGCATGCGCTTGTATACACCACTTGAAATAATCAGCGTTTTTGTATACTGAATACATTCGAAGGAAGGTCACAAGTGGACATAGCGGAAACGATACGAATCAGCGCCTACTGAAGCATACTGCGCGGCCACTCATATAAATTCGAGTGCACTTACCCATGATGATGTGGTTGGTAAGCGGAAGTCCTTTGCCTTTTTTTTGGAAGTGGTCTCTACGGGGTTCAGCTCGTAAATGACGCCCAAAAAACACAAGCAAATACCGATCAAACCTTCATGGACCATACTTTTTGCAAAACCTGCGTGACAGTCTTCGAGTGTTATTTTGGTGTCATGACGAATTCAGAATTGATGACACTATACGAGATTTTAATTGTGTATGACGTGCATAGAAACTACGTATTTAAACGAATAAAAAGTGATTATTTTGCCATAGAAGGCGACGTATGCTTAGAGATCATTGGTTATCATACATCCTTGAAACACCTTTCCTACACGTCTATTGGTGATAGATTCTATTTTTTTTATGCGTTATGCGACATGCGTCTCTGCTCTGCCTGCGCGTCACATGTCTGATCACTCGGATGTCACACAGCCACAGTTCACACTATTTAGTATTTATGTATGTATGTACTTCACACAAGTTACAACCTGGGGTCGGAGGGGGATGGGGCCCTGGGGCCCTGGGAGGCTGGGGGGTGGATAGAAAGGGAACTGTTTACGGGAAGGTTTCAAGGTATTCCTAAACACACACTCTCTACTAGTCTCTACTACTCTACTCTACTAGTAGTAGAGAGTAGAGAGCTAAGCTCAATGCGTTAAAAGTTGTAACTTTTATTATGCCTCGAATAAATAAAGTTGTAACTTTTATATCTCAATAGCACACTTCCATATATGATAGGTGCATCTTCCAGGTCACTCAGGTGACAGTCGTCACAACTGAAACGCTCAATCTCTTTTGATTGCCTATTATCAATTTCTGCAGTTTCCAAAATAACTTTGTAGTTGATTTGTCCTAAAATAAAAGTTATAATTTTTCAAAATCAAAAAGTTAACATTAGTTGGAACTTATATTCCGTACCCCTATAACTTATTGAGCTTAGGTAGAGAGGCACTACTTTAGCTAGTAGAGAGTATGTAGAGTAAATAGAGAGACTAGAGAGAGAGAGAGGGCTTCACTGCCGATCGGGGCCAGGGCCCAGGGGACGGCAGGGTCGTAGGGCCCGGGCGGACGATTTTTTTGTGTGCCACAACAGCGCCATTAGTCCCATGACACTCTCTCTCAATCTTTAACTCTCTCACTCACGTGGGACTAGAGCGTATACATGTAGTCCATTTTGCTTTTTCGTTCTTATACAAGTACAAGCGTCAAGAAGACCATGGCGTTATTTGATTCCCTACTTTTCATTCTATGTAGATGATTATGGGTTATTTTTAACAAATAATATTTAAAGCACGTACATACATCCTTGTTTTAAATTTTTTAGTGCTCCATAGATGGTCTCCAAATCTATTCCACAATTGTACTATATACTTGCATCCATGTATTCGTATGGTGATATAGATAATTATTGGAAAACTTCTAATGATGTACATCCTTAACTGGTTACCATGTACATATTATATACACCTCTGTACGCACCAGGAGCTCGATTCTGCTTTTGATCAGTGAGTGTTTCCACGATTATATGAGAATCTCACTATACACCTGCATCGATGTATCCCTACAGTGTTGTAGAGTACTATTTAAAAGCTTCTTATGTTGTACCTACTTAGTTACCATGTACATATCATATACACCTCTGAGCGCACCAGAAGCTCGATTCTGCTTCTGATCGGTGCGTGTTTCCACGATTCTATAAGAAGCTCACTATATACCTGCATCAATATATTCATATAGTGTTGTAGAGTACTATTTAAAAGCTTCTAATGATGTACTTTACATATCACATACACCTCTGTACACACCAGAAGCTCGACTATAGTTAAGTATTTTAAAATATGTACTCGACCGACAGTCCGACAGTCTATAGTTAGACCATAGATTTTAGAATTTAGTCGGCTTTTAATCTTTCATTTTTTAATATAACGCCAATAAAAAATAGATAGTCTCCGCAGAAAACACAGTTGGTTAAAACTGGCCAATGAGTATCTATTTTTGTTTTTAATACTAAAAAATGAGAAAAGAACTGGATGCAAATTGTATAATGCAGCCGGTTTTGATTGTTGAACACAGGGGGGGCATTCCCGTAAAAGTATAATATAGCGGCATGAGTAGGACGCTGGTCCCCGACTCCCCGCTGACAGGCTGACACCTCTGTCAAATACAAATATATACTGCAAATGGTAATATGTCATGTGATATATATATCTATGTAAATAAACAAAGTTGTACATATGTATGTAAAAAATTATTTTTATATCTGTTGTAATATCTTCCGTATATAATTTAGTCATCAGCTGCTTTTGTAATTGTGCTATAGCAACGACTACAAAACAAAAGCTGAATTGATAAGGCAATACCCTGATCATCTGATAAATTAGGCTGGGATGTTGTCACAGAAGTCGGGCCTCAGGCTCCAACACACATTCGGTTCAGGTAAGCCAGTTTGCGATAGCTGACAAAGGGTTCATGATCATCCTTAGGCCGCTTTCTATATGGTGCCAAAATTGCGCGAATAGTGACGTATGCTATATACTATCAGGTCCTTAAATTCTTATCAGTACAAATCGATTCAACATATATTCAATTCCGTGGTATGGGTTCATATTGCACGGTGCAATTTTTGTCCACGGCCAAGTCTCATCGAAAGTGTGCATACGTGCACACATACATTCGTGTCATGAAGAAACAAATTTCGAAAAATAAAGCTGACTCCAATCGTAGCGTAGATACAGCAGAGATAATACTGAGGATGTATTTTTTCTTTCTTCGAATATTTATGTACATATACCAGAACGGTGAAAGGGGTTATGTGAGCTAAGAGAATACACGTGGCCACTTAGGAGCGAGTGTCTCAAATGTTTACACTCGATATTAGTGTGATATCTGAATATTTTAGTACGACTGTGTTCGAGAGTTTAGCGAGTGTGTATATAGGTTTGGCAGTTAAGTCATATGTATGTGTTTTACGCATAGAAGGTTGATAGATACTGTCGTATTTGAGTACACTAGTCGTGCTCGTGTCGATAAATGTACTTTGTCTGGTTTTATTTCCAGAGAACTAAGTATACCACATTCTACAATTTGGAATATTAACTTCTCGCGAGACAGCTAGTAGAACGATGCATTTAGATGTACCTGATCAAACATCACATTGTATGGTCTCTCGAAAGCATACATATTTACGGCTTTAATGTGTTATATTCTATCATATAATTCGTATATGATTATTTGAATCTAGCGGTTTGCGGTTGCATAAAACGTGCATTTTGTTTGGGAAACCATCTCGCACCGCGTTTGAATTCACATTTGTATTCACATGTCTTCAGCATGAGTATCTATACACATATCACCAAGCATAGCATAAGCATAAATTCTTCATACCCAGTTTATACCCAGTTTTAGGCTTTTTTCTAAGACAATCTAGGCACACTTTAATGATATCATAACTGTTATATGATACCATGTTGAATATGTTTCTCAACCTTATACCCAGGGAGCGTCTACGCATGCAGACGACTAGCCTCAACAACTGCCATTCCATGGCCCACATTTGCAAAACAGCTTTTGTATCACCGCAATGGCGCCACCACAAACGTCTTACAGTAAGTACGCAACGCTGAGATCTACATTTGCATCACCATGTAGCATTGTAGCTAGTATGATGCAAGCAGTAGCCATAAGTCGCTCTCTCTGTGAGTGAGTGACAAATGGCGTACACATCCGCCATGTGTCGTGCATATAACTGCTATGCTGCGCGTTACATGATGAGTCGTATGGTATAGAGAGTGTCGTGACAGGCCGGCGAGTTGTATGGTTCGTGTAGTATTGTCGTACGGTGAATGGTGTAGCGTTTCCATATAGTCTGTACTTTCGTGTCTCGTATCGAATTTGAATCTGTCGTATGGTATGACCGTTTTGTATGTCGGATGGTGTGGCGCTCGGCATCATATGATGAGCAATGACATATGTCCTACACAGTGGTGTAAATGTGTCGTACGGCGTGTCGTAGAGTGTATTGTTTGGTCTGTCCTTTGCATTGTGCATTGTCACGTTGTTGGACTTTTGTGGTGCATGTCGCATTCTTTGACATGTCATATCGAGGTATCGTACACACAACCTGCTCTTCGACTTTACGTGTGATGCGACACAATTGTGTGTCGTACTGTAGTGTCCCGCAACGAACGACGTGGCGTACGTCTTGTCGTACAGACTATCATGTAGCCTTTCGTAACGTGCTGTATATGTATATCGTGTTGCAAATATACTATATTACGTGCCGTGTACCTTATATCGTATGCCGATGGTGATGTCGCTTGCTATTATTTGTCGTACGATAGAAAAGCGTGCATTGTGTCACATTAAGTGTCGTGTGGGAACCAGCGCTCCTACGCGAGTTATACCGTGTGGCATTGTCGTGCGCCAGGTAGAATGGCGATACATGCATTGTCCTACAAAGTCTCGCACACTGTGATCCATTGTAGATCGTACACACGACGTGGAGTACTATTCATATAGATCCCTATCTCCTACATGTGCCAGGTCTTAGTCGTGTGTACTATTCATATAGATCCCTATGTCCTACATGGGCCAGGTCTTAGTCGTGTGTACTATTCATATAGATCCCTATCTCCTAGATGTGCCTGGTCTTAGTCGCGTGTTCTATTCATATAGATCCCTTTCTCCTAGATGTGCCAGGTCTTAGTCGTGTGTACTATTCATATAAATCCCTATCTCCTAGATGTGCCGGGTCTTATGCGTCCAGTGCCTTCGTGTGTGTAGTAGATCAATACGTGTAGTGCCAATGCGGGTGGAACTAATCCCGGGGTTTGTACCGGTTTTTGAACTGCAATATTGGCGATCTGGCCTGGGTATTTCTGGCGATCCTTTGTACAAGGCCTGACCAATTCTATTGGTTTGCGTGATTGTTAGCCTGTCGGCGGTGTTGTACGCTATGTTTCGCAGAGACGCTTAAACAGTATACACTGTCACATGTAGTGTTGCTGAGCGTGCACCGTGTATGGATACCCATACTGTTTATTGTATCTCCAGGTGCCATCTGTGCCACACCCAGACATCTGGCAACTCGCGATTCTATTTTATGTCTTATTTTATGGTAGTACACATGGCAGGACACACGAAATGAACTAAAGCATTTGGTGTGCAACGTCCACAGGCTCGAGAAGAACAAGCTGCCAGAAATTCAGGCGAGTGATGTCGGGGTGGCTATGCTTCGGTCTCCCGTCAATCCTGCAGATGTGAATGCCGTCGAGGGTGTCTACCCTATACGCCCCCCTATGCCTGCAGTAGGTGGCGGTGAAGGTACGCACGTTTACTTTGACATGTATGCGATAGATAGGTTTCCCACACATTAGGTTTTCAATAGTGAGATATATATAATAGCTTACGACTGAAAATGCTTACACACATCCAAAAGCCTACGCATAACAACTGTTTCAGCAAAGCTACATAGAAAGCCATGTCTATGACTAGGATGCGTGCTGTCATAACTCACAAGCGGATGTAATCACTTATAGCACACTAATTACTTCCTCTTTGACACGGACGAAGCATCTCATCCTCTGCCCAGCTAGCAATTATCGGCGAATGCAGAGTTTGTCACAATCTAGTATAGAAACACTATTCGATTCCCATACCAATAGCCTCATCCACTACATAAGTTATCCCCAACGTGTTCAAAATATATTACATAGCCGTCTAATAAGTAACAATGCTCCGATGTTTTCTGTGAAGGCGTCGGTGTGGTGGTGAAGGTGGGCGAGGGTGTCACAGATCTTAAAGCCGGAGACTGGGTTATACCGAGGGCCGCCGGGGCTCTTGGTAGGTGAAAGTTGAGCAATCGGCGAGTACTTGAGTTTCAGGTGTATGTATGCGTTTGTATAATGGTGGCAACACCAGTGATTATTCGTGTATGTATAAATAGTGTATATGAATTGGCAGATTGATATCAAGTACAAAGTATGACTTGTATGCGACAGCCACAATTATAAACCGCGTATGCATGTACAAGGGGTTGAGTTCTCCATTATTTCTGATACGAATGGGGACGCAAGTTGAATTCACAGATAAAACTAATCTTTATGCATATAGTCTAAATTGGTGAATCAATAGCCACGCTACACACACGTATGATCTCACAGACGAATAGAACATACATGATTTCTAAATGCCGTATATATTATATATCTTATATACTTAATTAAATACACACACACACACACACACACACACACACACACACACACATATATATCTTTATGTATACATATATCTTTATATATATAT